CACACAGCCAAGATAACACAGGAGTGGCTTCGGGACAAGTCTCTGAATGTCCTTGAGTGGCCCAGCCAGAGCCCGGACTTTAACCCGATCGAACATCTCTGGAGAGACCTGAAAATAGCTGTTCAGCGATGCTCCCCATCCAACCTGACAGAGCTTGAGAGGATCTGCAGAGAAGAATTGGAGAGACTCCCCAAATACAGTTGTGGCAAGCTTATAGCGTCATACCCAAGAAGACTCGAGGTTGTAATCGTTGCCAAAGGTGCTTCAACAAAGTACTGAGTAAAGGGTCTGAATACTTATGTAAATGAAAAACCTGTTTTTGCTTTGTCATTATGGGGTATTGTGTGTAGATTAATGAGGGGGAAAAAAACAATTGAATCCATTTAAGAATAAGGCTGTAACGTAACAAAATGTGGAAAAAGTCAAGGGGTCTGAATACTTTCCGAATGCACTGTGTGTAACCAGTAAGCATAGTAAATGTACTGTTGATCCCCATCATCTGCTTACATTAATTACTGTTCATGCATTAGTAATTTACCATTCTCATTCTCAGAGTGGAAACATTGTTTGCAGAGTTCACGACCTGCTACACTTGTGAGAAACAAGTACTGGTTTATTTCATAACCATAATTTAGGAGGTTTATACATTTTGTGTGGTTTCTCTGTCCTGATAATATTGAGGGAGCGAGTGCCTGAGCATGCCAACATGCTTAGTTGATACAATGTTGCACTTCACTAGAGATAGCTCAAGTCAAGACAGACAGGTGAGTAGAGAGATTATTGCGATTGAAAGAACCTGCATTTTTATCAGGATATTTTCTGCTGTTTTAATTTCTCAGCTTTAGGCATACATATTTTGACTTAGTTGATGATGGAAGTTATAGGCTTACTGCTGCATTGGCTTATAGGCTATTTCTGAGTACCGTGTGCAATAATTGTTTTTGCAGCAATGGATCACAGTGTATATATGTGTCCATATGGTAATGCTCTTGCATTAGTTGAATTTTTACTTTTAGATTTTTATCATTTTAATTCAGATTTGTGTGATTAACCACATGACAATACTTTTAAGAAACTAAAACACTACTTTTGAAATTAAACTGTTCCGTGAAAATGCGCTGATAAAAATAATCCTAACTGGCATGCAGATAGGTAGACATGGTAGAATAAATTGTAAGCGTCCCCAAACTTGAAACTCATGAGCTGCCTATGGTCTTTATTATAACACCCAAGGACGTCCACACAGGAGGTCCTGTGAAAAAAACTGGCCCACCTATAGAAATCAAATGCCCATCCAACTGATTCATTCTGGTGCCCTGTTGTGTGTGTGTATTTTTTGTTTTACTATCCTTGTGGAGACCAGAAGTCCTCACAAGGATAGTAAAACAAGGACAATTTGGACAAATGGGGACTTTTTGCCAGTCCCCACAAGGAAAGAGGCTATTTTAGGGTTAGGGTTAGGGGTGAGGGGTTAGAGTTAAGGTTAGGGTTAGGGAAAATAAGTCCCCACAACGATAGTAAAACTAATATGTGTGTGTGCGTGTGTGTGTGTTGTCACTGTAGGTCCAGGATGAAGATGCAGTGACCTATTGCTCTGTTATGCCCTCTTCTACCAGAGAGACAGAGAACCCTGCTGACCCCAGCTCTACTCCACAGCCAAGACATCAACATGAAGACTACACTCAGTCTTTCACAGCCTAATCCCAGCACCCAGAACCAAATATCTTGTGAATGCTGGCCAGCTACTCTATTTGGTTCAGGAACAGTTGATGGTCATTATGGCCAAACAGTTATATTTTTGTTTGATAAGACCAGAGGACATTTCTCTAAAAAGTACGATCTTTGTCCCCATGTGCAGTTGCAAACTGTAGTCTGGATTTTTTATGGCGGTTTTGGAGCAGTGGCTTCTTTCTTGCTGAGCGGCCTTTCAGGTTAAGTTGATATAGGACTCGTTTTACTGTGGATATAGATAATTTTGTACCCGTTTCCTCCAGCATCTTCACAAGGTCCTTTGCAGTTGTTCTGGGATTGATTTCCACTTTTCGCACCAAAGTACGTTCATCTCTAGGAGACAGAATGCGTCTCCTTCCTGAGCGGTATGACGGCTGCGTGGTCCCATGGTGTTTATACTTGCATACTATTGTTTGTACAGATGAACGTGGTACCTTCAGGCGTTTGGAAATTGCTCCCAAGGATGAACCAGACTTGTGGAGGTCTACAATTTTTTTTCTGAGGTCTTGGTTGATTTCTTTTGATTTTCCCATGATGTCAAGCAAAGAGGCACTGAGTTTGAAGGTAGGCCTTGATATACATCCACAGGTACACCTCCAATTGACTCAAATGATGTCAATTAGCCTATCAGAAGTTTCTAAAGCGATGACATCATTTTCTGGAATTTTCCAAGCTGTTTAAAGGCACAGTCAACTTAGTGTATGTAAACTTCTGACCCACTGGAATTGTGATACAGTGAATTATTAGTGAAATAATCTGTCTGTAAACAATTGTGGAAAAATTACTTGTGTCATGCACAAAGTAGATGTCCTAACCGACTTGCCAAAACTATAGTTTGTTAACAAGAAATTTGTGAAGTGGTTGAAAAAGTGTATGTAAACTTCCGACTTCAACTGTATGTGTTATTTCATAGTTTTGATGTCTTCACTATTATATATACAGTATATATTAAGGGTTTTATTTATTTCATTGAGATAGGACAGTGAGTTAGGGCAGTGAAGGTAGGAGAGTTTGCGAGTCAGAAGGGCATGGTTGGGATTAGAACCCATGCTGATTTTGGTAACCGAGGCTGTACATGTGAAGTGAACTGCTGGATCATACAGGACACTAAGATGTGTTTTTAATTATGATTACTAGATGGATAAGGTAGAACACTGGTGTTATGTTTTCTTTTAGTATGTAGCACAATAGCAGCTTTTTAGACAAACATATTTTAGCTTTGCTGATAACAAACTCATAGGATTTTTTCCCCTGCATTAATCATGTTAATAATTATATTGACTAAAGTGAGTTAATAAAATGGAAATAAATCAGATCTGAATGTTTCATTTTCATTCACTCCAGAGTTTCTCAGAGTACAAAAACATTGTATTGCCTAATTGGGGGTTTATTCTGTCATTTACTGTCTTTGTAAGTAGGAGGCAGGATAATTCTCAAATGTGAAATAGACTACCTGCTAGCTAGGCTATATCGTAGTTCGTTCTGTCAATATTGATATATAGATTTTCTATTGTGTTATTGACTGTATGTTTTGTTTTATCCCATGTGTAACTCTGTGTTGTTGTTTTTATCGCACTGCTTTGCTTTATCTTGGCAGTTGTAAATGAGAACTTGTTCTCAACTGGCTTACCTGGTTAAATAAAGGTGGGGAAAAAAAGAGGGCCCCCCTCTTGAAGGTGGAGAGATAACCATAATAATCAACCATAATTTGCAAATTAATTCATAAAAAATCCTACAATGTGATTTTCTGGATTTTTTTTTCTCATTTTGTCTGTCATAGTTGACGTGTACCTATGATGAAAATTACAGGCCTCTCTCATCTTTTTAAGTGGGAGAACTTGCACAATTCGTGGCTGACTAAATACTTTTCCCCCCCACTGTATTCAATGTACATCATTGGTTGCAGTTACATTCACCTCTGTCTGATCACTAAAGATCTAGCTTAGCGTTTTCATTCGAGCCTAATGGATTACTTTGATTGTTCAGACCATCCACTAAATAACTTTAACATGGAGTAGTGGTATTTGGCATCATAGACCAGCAGAGTGTGAACCACAAAAACATTAACATGAAAGTTAGCCTAGCAGTAGGTAGGTAGCCTAGCAGTTAAGAGCATTGGGCCAGTAAACCAAGGTTGCTGGTTTGAATCCCTGAGCCGACTAGCTGAAAATAGTTAATAGCAAGGCACTTAACCCTAATTGCTCCTATAAGTCACTCTGGATAAGAGTGTCTGCTAAATGACTAAAAGGGAAGTTTAGTTGCATGCTCTGTGTATTGACCAAGGTAATACATCTGACTATGGCCCAATGCTGTACCACTCATACAATCTACCAATCTGCTAAATCTTTCTCCACTCCAATCTGTAGAGAACTAGACAAGCAGTACTTCCTATAAATATGTTTGGGGCTGTTTTTACGCTACCAGATTTAGGCTACTGTGGAGTACTGGTGGTTGTCTTGACAGGAATCAGTTGTTCTATCAGAACTGTCTGAAAAACATGAAGTCAAGCATCTTGTGAGAGGCAAGAGGGGGCAGGGTTCATCACATTAGAAAAGGGGTGACTACAGTGAGCTAACATGAAGTCAGGAGTATCATTGTAGAAACATGGATAAAGGGACAAAGCGTGACAAGACAATAAAATGCAGATTCTCAATGATTGACTATGAAGAGTAAAGGCTTTCTGTGGGACTCCCGTCACAACTGCTACCACTAGAGAGTGCTATTCTATCTGAAAGACCAGCAATACCAGTACTGAGTCTGTCAGACATTGCAATACGTTTTTTTTTATAAACTGAAAAAAGAAAAACTCTAACCATTATAGGGAAAAACTCTAACCATTATGGGGAAAAACTCTAACCATTATGGGGAAAAACTCTAACCATTATGGGGAAAAACTCTAACCATTATGGGGAAAAACTCTAACCATTATGGGGGTTCCGTGGGGCACTGGCAGGAATCAAAGTACGGGTACTCTCTAAACCCCCCCACAAATGTACATTCTATACAGAAACAGATCCTATTTCTCCAGTGTACAGTATGTTAGGGTGGTAGGGTGGTTAGGGTGATAGATGTAGCCTACTTATTGATGAAATATGGGATATCTATCAGTAAATTGTCTACCTGGGAATGTAACAGTGAAATCCAGGAAGGTCTCCACTTTTCCAGTCAGCTGACATCACATCATTTTATCAGGTGGTTAATAAGGCAGATGTAGTATTTACTACACAATATACATACACATGGGAGATATATAATATAGAATCCCTACCTGAGAACTTAAAGGTGAAATCCAGGAAGATTTCCACTTTTCCAGTCAGCTGACACCTCCACTTCCTGTTGTTGTCCTCCCTCTGGAGTGTCACAGTCAGAGTGATGTCACAGTGAGACGGCTGTGTGACCTGGTATCTGGAGTCTCCCTGCAGATTAGTACCTGCCTCAATCAGCCCAGTATCTGCCTCATCCACCCTCAGCCAGCTCAGACTAACATCTTGGTCAATGCCTGGGGCACATCTGCCAGGTCCATTGTGGGTGTGCAGAGAGCACCTTAATGTTACTGGTCTATCAGGTTTTATATCTGTGACTGGTGAGGATGAGGACACTGAGAAAGAGAAAAAATCGTACTTGCATACTTTTTCAGTATGTACTGATCATGTTTAATATGACTATCAACACTACACTTTTGCACAGCTCTGATTTAAACAGTAATACTCACTAGTTAGAACAGACAGATGAACAGGAGCATCACGTCCATGTTGTGATCCACCCTCTGTAAGGAACTGTTGACAGGTGTAGAATCCAGCATCCTCAGCTCTGACATCACTAACATGTAGAGAACAGTTAGACCCTAAACTCAGTCTGTCTGCTCTGTTGTTCTGTTCTTCCTTTTTCACCCTCCCATGACCAACTTCTTCAATAGATCCATAGATCCATGTAGTTGAGGAGCAGTTTGGATAAACCACTTTGGTACACGGCAGAATGACATTACCTCCAACAATGGAGGACAGAGGAAGAGTGTTTCCACTGACACCTGACAAGAGAATGGCATCAGATGATTATTCACTGGTAATACAGATTACATTATATTTCACAGAGTCACTTGATGTTCATCACAGGTGTACTTCTCTGAAGAATAGAGTAATATACTATTATACAATAGTGAAGATAAAAGTAGACAGAAACACAACAGAAATGTAAACATAACATCCGCATGTCTATTTTTCCTCAGATTGATGGTTTTCTGTGTTGAATGTGAGTGATGATCTCTTAATAAATAGTATTGTTATTCTCTCTCTCCTCTGTCTTACCTGTTAGCAGGTACAAAACAGTCACAAGCAGTCCCAAAAATGAATAATGGACGTTAGCCATTGTCCTCTCTCTCTCTCTCTCTCTCCCCTCTGTCAGAGTGTCTCAGCTCTACACGTTTCTCACCATTCAGCAGTATCTCTATTCACCACTATAGCATCACTTCCTCAAAGTGGTCATGATTTTTTCTCGGCGTCAGGGACAGGGAAATGGTCAACTGCAGTTTGACTGTTTGTGAGTACTAGAACAAATTCTAATCAAGTAAAGACTAGTTTGCTTGTTTTGACAGCATAGTCTAGCTAACTAGATGATTCAGCTAGCCAACAATAGTGCTGATCAGATGATATAGCCCACCCCAGCACAGTGGTTCTAGCAAAGATACTTAGAAATAAACTAGGGAACTCCATTTCATCTGTGGTTCGAGCTTTCTAGCCTTCAATGTGTGATGAGTGAGTGAACTATTGCAGAAAATAGAGAAGTTGGCTACAGGAGCAGTAGAGAAGTATGAATAGTACGTTTTTTTTCCCGTTCCTCTAATTCTGTGTACATCCTGCTTTTATCTAAATAGTTTACAGGATGGAAATAAGTGACATAGTCAACATGTCAACATGACATATCAGTGGAATCAAGTCTGTTGTCTCTCATGACCATCTTAAAACAATTCCATATGTTAGCTTAGTACAAACCCCCCACCGAAAGAAAGGCTTAGACTTTTAGGGGATAATTATTGACCAAGATGAAAAACGTTAAGCCCCCTGGCAGATTACATGTTTGTTACCTGTTTGTGTATGACATCACATTTTCTATGTGTTTCTGCATATGTACCAATATCCTCAAATAAACCTAAACCTATTGAGTGCTAAACAGGACATCAAATCATGTTCCTGTAATAGCAGGGCATATTGCAGATACCAGCTTACTGAAGCAGCACATTTAACTGTGTTTGTAGCTAAAGGGTCTGAAAAAGGAAATATATGAGAATGGTTACAGTGAGGAAAAAAAGTATTTGATCCCCTGCTGATTTTGTATGTTTGCCCACTGACAAAGACATGATCAGTCTATAATTTTAATGGTAGGTTTATTTGAACAGTGAGTGACAGAATAACAACAAAAAAATCCAGAAAACGTATGTCAAAAATGTTATAAATTGATTTGCATTTTAATGAGGGAAATAAGTATTTGACCCCTCTGCAAAACATGACTTAGTACTTGGTGGCAAAACCCTTGTTGGCAATCACAGAGGTCAGACGTTTCTTGTAGTTGGCCACCAGGTTTGCACACAACTCAGGAGGGATTTTGTTCCACTCCTCTTTGCAGATCTTCTCCAAGTCATTTAGGTTTCAAGGCTGACGTTTGGCAACTCAAACCTTCAGCTCCCTCCACAGATTTTCTATGGGATTAAGGTCTGGAGACTGGCTAGGCCACTCCAGGACCTTAATGTGCTTCTTCTTGAGCCACTCCTTTCTTGCCTTGGCCGTGTGTTTTGGGTCGTTGTCATGCTGTTATACCCATCCACGACCCATTTTCAATGCCCTGGGTGAGGGAAGGAGGTTCTCACCCAAGATTTGACGGTACATGGCCCCGTCCATCATCCCTTTGATGCGGTGAAGTTGTCCTGTCCCCTTAGCAGAAAAACACCCCCAAAGCATAATGTTTCCACCTCCATGTTTGACGGTGGGGATGGTGTTCTTGGGGTCATAGGCAGCATTCCTCCTCCTCCAAACACGGCGAGTTGAGTTGATGCCAAAGAGCTCGATTTTGGTCTCATCTGACCACAACACTTCAATGGCACACTTCAGACGGCCCTGTATATGTGCTTTCTTGAGCAGGGGGACCTTGCGGGCGCTGCAGGATTTCAGTCCTTCACGGTGTAGTGTGTTACCAATTGTTTTCTTGATGACTATGGTCCCAGCTGCCTTGAGATCATTGACAAGATCCTCCTGTGTAGTTCTGGGCTGATTCCTCACCGTTCTCATGATCATTGCAACTCCATGAGGTGAGATCTTGCATGGAGCCCCAGGCCGAGGGAGATTGACAGTTATTTTGTGTTTCTTCCATTTGCGAATAATCGCACCAACTGTTGTCACCTTCTCACCAAGCTGCTTGGCGATGGTCTTGTAGCCCATTCCAGCCTTGTGTAGGTCTACAATCTTGTCCCTGACATCCTTGGAGAGCTCTTTGGTCTTGGCCATGGTGGAGAGTTTGGAATCTGATTGATTGATTGCTTCTGTGGACCGGTGTCTTTTATACAGGTAACAAGCTGAGATTAGGAGCACTCCCTTTAAGAGTGTGCTCCTAATCTCATTTCGTTACCTGTATAAAAGACACCTGGGAGCCAGAAATCTTTCTGATTGAGAGGGGGTCAAATACTTATTTCCCTCATTAAAAGGCAAATCAATTTATAACATTTTTGACATGCGTTTTTCTGTATTTTGTTGTTGTTATTCTGTCTCTCACTGTTCAAATAAACCTACCATTAAATGTATAGACTGATCATTTCTTTGTCAGTGGGCAAACGTACAAAATCAGCAGGGGATCAAATACTTATATATGTGTTTACAAACTAAAGGTTCACTCGTATATCAAACCATTTCCTCTAAAGGCTCATATCCCACCCCACCTTGGTAATGGAGGGAATTTCAATTGTTAGAGATGTAAATGTAACAGAAACCAAGGATGTAGCTAATCTAAAAAAAGAATGAATAGGTCTGCAACTGGTCCTTCTCTCAGTGGTTCTTTCAGCTCAGACCACTTCTGTTTTTCTGAGGATAAGCAAAGACAGAGAAAAATAGGTAATGCTTATGGGTTGTCTTTTGACCACAGCATCTGGTCACACCATCAAAAGAAGATGCATTTTGCAACTCAACTACATAGAACGATACATTGGGAACAGTTGCCTTTAGTGTTACTATGGGAACTGAGACATAGAGACACTGTTATTGGTTGTGGGGCTGGATGGATCTTAGTCTTGCGTGGCCATCCTTTCAAATCTCGTCTCATTGACTTGTGTGAGAAGCCTGGGCTTCCCAGGCTAGAGGTATGCAATTTCATGTGGATGTTCTGTTTTTAACTTTTGAAAGAACAAGACTCCTCTGGTCACCAAGCCATACAGGGAACAATGAATGTTGAACCAAATTATGACAATGTACACTACATAGTATGTGAACAATGGCGCTGGGATGTACAGACACTGTTTGACAGGCTCCTGACGATTTTGATCTTAACTTTCTTTCTACATAATGTTTACGCAATCGTTTCCTATGACCGAAAAGAGCTTCTGGACATCAGAACAGCAGTCAATATCCTCGATTTGGATGAAGACTTGTACTTCAATGAGTCTTCTGTGCAAGAGCCCTAATCTCTTGACACTGGGAAGAGAAAAAGACAGTGCTATAGAGGCCGCCGTGCGGGCACTCTGATGAAACTATGTCGGCAAGTGGATAGACCGCCTCCACCCTCCATTGCATTGGCGAACGTACAATCTCTGGAGAATAAGTTGGACAAGCTCTGTTCGACACTCCTCTCAACGGGACATTAAGAACAGTAATATACTATCCATCTCGGAATCATGGCTGAACAAGGACAAGGACAATATACAGTTAGCTGCGTTGTCTGTGCATCGGCAGGACAGATCGGCAGCGTCCGGTAAGCTCAGCAGTGGTGCGCAATCTCAAATTTTAAGGAAGTCTCGATGTTCTGCTCGCCTGTTAGAATACCTCATAATAAGCTGTAGACCATACTATTTACTAAGAGAGTTTTCATCTATATTTTTCATAGCTGTCTATTTACCACCACAAACTGATGCTGGCACTAAGATCACACTCAACGAGCTGTACAGGGCCATAAGCAAACAAGAAAATGCTCACCCAGAGGCGCCACTCCTAGTGGCTGGTGATATTGTTGCAGGAAAATTGAAATCTGTTTCACCTAATTTCAACCAGCCTATGCAACTAGAGGAAAAAAATACTTTAGATCACATTTACTTCACACACAGAGACACATATAAAGCTCTCCCTTGCCCTCCATTTGGCAAATTTGACCATAACTATCCTACTGTTTCCTGCTTAAAAGCAAAAACTCAAACAGGAAGTACTAGTGGTCCAGTATGGAGGTGGTCCAATGAATCGGATGCTAAACTACAGGACTGTTTCACTTGCACAGACTGGAATATGTTCCGGGATTCATCCGATGGCATTAAGGAGTTTACCACATCAGTCACTGAACGTACCAATCCCAAACAGAAGTCATGGATTACAGGCAACATCAACATCTGCACCGAACTAAAGGCTAGAGCTGCCACTTTCAGAGAGCAGGACACTAATCCAGACTCCAGATAAGAAATCCCGCTATGCCCTCCGACAAACCAACAGGCAAAGCATCAATACAGGACTAAGATCGAATCCTACTACACCGGATCTGAGGGCTTGCAAACCATCATGGATTACAAAGGGAAACCCAGCCATGAGCTGCCCAGTGACACGAGTCTACCAGTTGATCTAAATGCCTTATATGCTCGCTTCGAGTCAAGCAACACTGAACCATGAACAAGAGCACCAACTGTTCCGGACGACTGTGTGATCACGCTCTCCGTAGCCGATGTGAGTAAGACCTTTAAACAGGTTAACATTCACAAGGCCGCAGGGCCAGATGGATTACCAAGACGCGTACTCAGAGCATGCGCTGACCAGCTGACAAGTGTCTTTACTGACATTTTAAACCTCTC